TTCCTTGGAAGATCTTAGGCAAAAATGGTACATATATTATTTTATGTTATGTGAAAATAACATATAGACACTATGTTAGAGCCTGTGTTTGCTGTGAGAAAAGGAAAAAGAAAGGGTACGAGCCAACTCTGGACTCTTAAAATAGAAAGGGAGGTGTTTGGGACCAGACTACTAAGAGGAAGCAGAGTGACCCCGACCTCAAAGAAAATGCTGGCATTTGTCAAATACCCAGTGACGCCTCCCTGTCCAGAGATGAATAGGTTTCTGACACAAATATGAGAAAATGCTAACATTTATTTCAGGTTACAGGTAAATAGATGTTTTATGTTATTCTCTGCACTCTTCTATTATCTCAATTTTTATGGTTAAAAAAATGAAAAAAGAAATTGAAAATAAAAGTTCCCATCAATGCAATGGAATACTGTGCAGCTGCTGAGAAAAAAGTGAGGAAGATCTTTGTTCTCACATGGAAAGACCTCCAAGAAACGTTGCAGAGTGAAATAAAAGCAAGTTTCAGTATAATATATTTCACCCAGTCCTATCTGTATGAAATACTTTCTTTCTTTTTTTTTCCTTTTTGTCTTTTTTCGTGTCCGGCAATGGATCGCAACCCTCAGTGTCGCGCCCGCACTGGACCGGGACCGGCAACGGGATCGCAAACCTCGGTGCCGCGCCCGCACCTCGCTCAGCCAGTGAGCGGGAACCGGTCTGTATGTGGGATCCGAACCCTCGGCGGGAGCGCCGCCACACTCCCAAGCGGCGCACTGTAGCAGTGCGCCACCGGGCCGGCCCTGTATGAAATACTTTCTAAATGTGTGTGTACCTGTCTCGTGACATGCATAAGATTTAATCTAGAAGAGGCAAGTCATTAGCAGGAGGTGGATATGTACCTTAGGCTTTTTCACGTACCTTAGGCTTTTTCATGTGGTATGAATTTTTATGACAAGCATATATCACTTTTATAATCATAGCAAAGCAATGATGACTCTAATAAATGACCTGTGGAGCAGAAACGCTGGTCACCAACCCTTCCAGGCTTGTGGGCTGCCACTGGAGTGTCCACTTGCCCTGTTCTTGCTTGGCCTCTTTCCTGATTTGATACTTGGATGTCTGAATGAGGGCCCATGACAGATGCCAGCAGGGGTGGCGATGACAAGCCCAAAGCCACATTTGTTCCATTACTTCCAGCTCCTTGTTGCCTTTCCAATCGCAGCAGTGAGAGCTCCTTTCTCTTATCTGCACAAAGCAAGAGTCAAAAGTTCTTGTCAGTGTGATTGCAAATACCAGGCAGGAAAACCTCCTGATAATACCTAAATTCCTTTAGAAGAGCAGTGCCTGGAATCAGGTCAGGAGAGCTATGTGGCTTCGGCACATTGTGTACTGTGCAGTTGGATCGTAAACCAGATGAAATTTGGCAATAAAAAGACATAAAGGACATATAAAGGTGACATTATAGTACATTATACGAAGTTATACGATAAAGGACATATAAAGATGACATTATAGTCCCGTCTGGTCTTATAACCCCTCTCCTCAAGCCAATCCATCCTCTACAAAGACCACGCAGGCTGCTGAGGAAGAGTCTCCGTGTGTGTGAGCCATTGAGGATTTCCAAACTAGACACAAAGATATAAGGTATAAAAATAAAATGCAAATAATAAAAAAAAAAGTATCAGGCTGAAGTTTCCAAGATACATTTATGGCTTTTATAAACAGTTATGAATTGGTCAAATGGCTCTTTGAGATACTCTGGTGACATTAGCTAATTCTGACATTTAGGAATTAAAACTTAGTAGCTACCTTATCCTTATGAGCAAAGCTTGCTAAAAATCTTGTGCTGCATGTCCTGCTCTGTGTTTGAAGGTGACACAAGTGGCATGCTGTCATCTCAATTCTGTACCTTGTCCTAAAACCCGAGGGAGATGGGAGCACTGTCCTCCTCCATTTTCCTTTGGCCTCATTCTGCAGCCAGCATCCCCTGTTCCCTGCTCCATCTGCCCCACTTTAGTTCCAAAAAGATGTGGGTTCCCATAGCAAACGTGAAGAAATGCAAAAACCTAACAATACATTTTAAGAAATGATGACACACTGAAAGTGAATCCCCGGAACTATATACCCTTTGATTTATCTTTGAAGCATCTACTCTGCCAAGTAGATATCTTTTTTGTCCATTTTTATGGGCACAGTAACTGGCTCAGTGAGATCGGATGACTCGCCAGCAATCTCCCAGCTAGCAAGTGCCAGGGCTGGACTGACTGGGAAGTCCACAGGCTTTCCACACACTGAGGAGTCACTATAGGGTTCCGGGAAGTGGGGAGAAGGAAGTACTGACCATCTGCAAAGCAGGGAGGCCCACGGTGGTTCTAATATAGCAGGTTTCTACCTGCCAAGCAGCTACGAAATCGACTTCCAGCATCAACCCCAGCACAGCACTCACCTCTCTCGGAACAAATCCACAAACCCTTGAGAGTGATGAATATATACTGAAAACACACATTTTAACACACATTTATAAAGACTAATGATGATTATGAACAACAGTTACTGCCATGTGTTAAGTGCTTCCTCTGGACCTGGGCAGCACTGGTCACCTTGCAAACATGTCTCATTTGAGATCACTGTGCCCTCCAGGTAGGTACATGGATGCTGATTGAAACAGAGGAGGAACTAAGGCCCTGTGAAGCTGAGCAACTGTGTGGTCTCCAGGAACACTGCAGAGTGTCACCAGCCTCTGGAAAACCCACCTGTAGAGGCCACACGCAGGCTCGATGGGAATTTTTTCAGTTTAGCATGATGCTATGAAGCCCCTAAGAGGAGATGTGTGTGGTGTCCACACACAGGGGAGAAGAGGCATTAGTGTGGAAGCGATGTGCAAGCTCCACAGCCCTCATCCTGCCTGGAGAGCCTTCCAGCTCATAGCCCATTCTCTTTAGGAAGAGCTCCCTCTTCCTGGCCTCACAGGAGTTATTCAATGGGCTTAAATTAGATACATTTCAAAACATTTTTTTCACTGAAAAGCACCATACAGATATCAGCGCAGTTACAGTAATTATTATCCAGGACCCTACTTCCCAAAACCATGCTAGTTACTGGTCATTGTCATGTCTATTGTCACTCCATTGGACCAAACCAAAGCTGCCAAGGAGAAGATGTGCAATGGGAGGAAAGAGGGAGGCATGGAAAGCAGAGCTAGAGTATTCAGACGTTCATCGTGCAAGAGTTTATAATCAAAGGACTTTCCCTTCCCCTGATGCCGCAGCTGGTCTTTGCAGCCAACATTCTTTGATAACATCAAACGGTATATCAGACCATTTGTACGTATTATTCTGACAGTAAATTCCTCAGCTTCTGATTTAAGAATGGTTTGAGGAGAAGAAGAGTTCTTTTCTGCTTAACCCTGAAGAGAGAGGAACAGCACTGAACAGTGCCAGGCACAGGCAAAGCCCCTTTGTGTCATCTAACCCAGCAGCCAGGTTTAACAGCTGAGGACACTGAGGCTCCAAGAGAAAAGATCCCACAGGGCTTTGATGGGTGCCAGGTCAGGGGTAGAATGGAGAAACTCAGTCCTGAGCCCCCAGGGGGAGGTCATGTACATCCCCTGCCCTTTCTGTCAGCGTCACAGCACGGGAGCGTAGGCAAGGAAGACGAGAGAATTATTCCTTTTTCAGAGTCCTCTGCAGACAGAAATATGCCTCTTATAAAGGTTTTTCATGACTCTACACACACACACACACACATAAGGCCACATAGGTATACACACAGACAACACATACAGACACACACATACGTAATACATATACACACAGACACGCACATACATAATACATTTACACACAGACACGCACATACATAATACATTTACACACAGACACACACAGACATAATACATTTACACACAGACACGCACATACATAATACATGTACACACAGACACACACAGACATAATACATTTACACACATACATAATACATTTACACACAGACACACACAGACATAATACATTTACACACATACATAATACATTTACACACAGACACACACATACATGATACATATACACAGAGACACGCACATACATGATACATATACACACAGACACACACATGCATAATACATATACACACAGACACACACATGCATAATACATATACACACAGACACACACAGGCATAATACATTTACACACAGACACACACATACATAATACATTTACACACAGACACACACAGACATAATACATTTACACACAGACACACACATACATAATACATATACACACAGACACGCACATACATAATACATATACACACAGACACACACATACATGATACATGTACACACACATGCACATATGTACATACATATCTACATACCCCATACATACATATATACACACATATGAGGGGTCTTCAGAAGTTTCATAGATTCATATTACCTTTTAATTCTATTTTTCCATGAACTTTTTGAAGTACCCTTGTACACATACACACCTAGACACACACATACAGACTCTCTCTCTCACACACACACACACACACACGCACATTTTCCCTCCATCTGCTAACAGCCTTTTCCTCCACCTTCTCTGTTGTCCTACTTTTCCCCCAAATCTCTACACCCCACTCTCCCCTCTTCCTTTCTTTTCGATTTCATTATCAAGTCCAACAGGTGGATCGTGTCACACAGACAGGTGAAACTCTCATGCAGGATGACCAGATGTCCCAGCTTGCCTAGAACAGACCAGTTTCATACCTGTCTTCTGGAATCATTACTAAGAGTGCCCTCTTTGTCTCTCAAAAGAGTCCTCAATTAGATGACAATTTTCTATGCATATATTTATGTATCATATATATGTGCACGTGTATATGTAAATCCTCCCCTCGAGGGAAGTAATCTGATATTTACTTGGATAGAAGCTAGGATTAAAGCAGCAGAGCTGTATGTAGGGGGCTCTACTTCAACATTTCTATGTCTCACAACTTTTATTTTTGCATTCTAGTAATGCTAAGATTTGGATTTCAGGATCTTGCTTCTGGCTCAGAAAATGAGAGGAGTGACTCAGCGTCACAGCCTGGCAACCAGTCAGACACGGGGAAGCAGGGGCTCGGCGCTCTCAGTGCCCCCACCCCCGTGCATGCTGCTGTCAAGGTAAGGACAGGCCCGCCTCCAAGCCCCTGCCTGAGCAGCCAGCTCACAGAGCCAGCTTGGAGCAGAGTTAGGTATGATAGGTTCAGTGCACTAGGAAGGTCACAGAACAGGAGTTGGGAGGTGGGCCATCAGTGTATATGCACCAAGATTCTACTATCCGTGCAGCACAGTATGAGTGTTCTCTGCAGTGAGAAGCCCGTGTGTTTGCATTTCTTCGGGATCACAGCTCACTCAGCATGCTCCTGACCTAAAAGATAGCATCAGCTCACCCTTGAGATGGACACGGCTGATTGCACTGCACACAGGCTTCACAACTGCGATAAAATAGGTATAGCACGGTTGAATTTTGTGCAAGAAAAGCGACTCTGAAGACCTCACACAAGGTACAATCTATACCATTCAAGACAGTCTCCCCATGGAAATAAGGACGGTGGGGGTTATATTCACAGTAGACAAGTAGCTGTATTCACAGCATATTTTTTATTTAATTTTCTCAGCATTGTATCTCATACTTCACAGAGTTCTCTCTCCTCAATTAACTTCCAGGTAGTCAATTGGCTTATCTTTATAATATTTTATTCCACTTCTAATTGATGTGGCAGCATGTTTTCTCAGCTCTAGTGCCACCACTTAATGAATGCTGAGATGACTTATGAGATTAAAAAAGATTGTAAATTGAAGTAAGAATCAATGATAAAGAGTTTTATGCCATAAGTGGGTGGTAGGCATTTTAGTTTCCCAGTAAAGCTCCCCTACCAATCCACAACAGCTGAAACGCAGCTTATAATTCACTCAGCTCAACAGCTTTGAACTTGTGGCTATTGATGAATTTTGTTCATTGCAGGGGAAGGAGGAGATGATTTACATTATTTCTAATATTGTATATAAACAGAAATTGTATTAATATTTCTATCACGATACTTGAATTTTACATAATTCAAATTAGCAAAGCCTTCAACCTTGCTGTACTAAGGAAGTGGGATAGGAGCCCACAGGAAGGACAGATCACTTTCAATAAACAACAAGATCGATACTAGTGCCCAGCTGGTCCAGGAGGGCTGGTTGTATCTGTACGAGCCATCATCCTTTTGAATGGTCGATGCCTATGCATTCCTAGCTGCTAAATATTCATCACCCCTAAGTTAAGAGGATACTAGAGGGCTTCCCAGAGAAGGAGGCAACCAAGCTAGGGGAAAAACATCACTATCCTATTGACATTATAAGACTCCTATAAGACCAATGAGAGAATACATACAAATGCTCTAGAGAAAGGTACTCTACAAATACTCTGGGAGGGTGTGTATCAGAGTTGAATACAACATGATTCCTGCCCTCAAGGAGCCTATACTCCAGTTGGGTTATCAGGGCCACCACTAGTCCAAACAGTGTTTTGTGCAAAAAAGGAAGACGAGCCCCAAGACTTGAATAGACACTTCTCCAAAGATATATAAATTGCCAACGAGCACATAAAAGGGTTCTCAGTGTCATTAGTCATTAGGGAAATGCCAATCAAAACTACAATGAAGGGCCAGCCCGGTGGCGCACTGCTACAGTGCCCCGCTTGGGAGCACGGTGGCGCTCCCGCCGAGGGTTCGGATCCCACATACAGACCGGTTCC